ACAAGGACGTGCTTCGTCAAGCGTGTAATACGACTTGTTTTCACATGTTTTTGAAGTTGTTTTTTGTTGAAGCTAATATGTTTCTTTCTCTCTTTCCTTTGTTGTTGAGTCTTTAACTTTGTGCTTATTATTTCAGCGTCGCAAAGATTTTCCTATTTATGCGTAACAACATCCGCGAGTCCACTTATGTATTCATGTCTCGTGTTTTTTCCTAAGTCATTGTTCTTTTAAACATGGACTCAGATTGAAAATACATCAGTTGTATGAAGTTAAATAAAATATTGATGTTCTACTCACGTGACCACAATGCAAGTAGCAGAAGGTGGGAAAACAAAATGGTGCTTGTCTATTTTAAGACTTGGCTCACAGCCATCGCGCGCGCGGCTTTACCTATGTAAGTATATCAATTATCGGTACGAAATGATTTTATGTCACATTAAATCAGAATGGAGCAATTAAACGGAAAACTGTTCCCCGAATCAATAAAGATTAGTACCTAACTTTATTATTAAGAGTACAACACGATAAAACACTAAAGATAATTGTTATGAAAAATATATGTTACTGAAGGACAAAGATAGCAACAACGGCAAAAAGTAAAAAATAACAATAAAACGCCATAAACGACGTAGCAAATAAAAGGCGTAGTAGTATTGTGAATAGTTTTGTCACGCCAGCTTATCAGTAGTTATTAATCAGGCGTTTCACTTTAGCACGCACACTAAAACTCAACTCTACGAGTAAACAGAGAAGTCACAGTCACCTCTTGGCTAAAGCACTTCAAGTTACAGCATTACCTTCTAAAACTGCCTAATCATATTTTAGTCCAAACCGGGGAGATTAAATTAATTCCATCAATATATTGCCGTGATGTTTATCATAATTAATCACAATGAACATAATCTGACCGACTACAATAAAATATAATTAAGATTAAACAATGCAAATTCATTTACCAAAGCCGCCTTCATTAGGACGGCAGCCGTTAAATTTTTTACTGATTAGAGGGACGGCTTTTAAAGCCCTAAGACGGGAAAATAAGAAGGGATGATCTCTTTTACTTTATTCAGCAGATTTTCGCAATTCAACAGTTTATTTTTACGAAAATATTTAAATCTGAGCCCTCTGAGATTTAATTAGAGTTGTATTTTAATATGGAACGGCGGTACGGGACGTTGGGCTTTCGACCGTCATAATCGGATTTGGAGTAATGAGATAATGACATGACGTGGTACGTCTGAACAGAACTTGTATTTAGAGTGCTCGGTTGCCAGACAGCTCAACAAGTCAGATTTATTTAGCGAATTAGGCACTCAGAACCCCGCGGTACGAAACAAAGGCATAAAGTCAGCCATGCGAAAATCTGTAGTTATTTCATAAAATTAGACCCACCAAGGGTCTGGGTCGCTCGACTGAATGTCGAAAGAAAATATCGTGGCAAAATAATACAATTTCTCTTCCCACCAATTCGTCCATAAATATGTCTGTTTACTATCAGATAGTCACATCAAAGTATAATGTCTAGGTCATGAAGACCAGAAAGCAAGACATTCGGTCACTTTCGTCGGCTTTCTCCGTCCCACTCGCACTTATAGCATGATGGGCAGCGATATCGTTGTAAATCCACCGTTATCGGTGAGTGACAGCGTGTGACGGATTGCGAGGTCAAGGCGCGTATGTCGTTGGCACTGCACCAGAGTTCACACGACGAGTTCCTGCGAACGACCCTCTAATGAATTTCACGGATACCTAAACGATAGCGCACGCTACGGTAATCCCGTCATGTCTAATAATAAGCTGTCCTTTGGTAAGCTGCTTAGGAGAAATGCGTTGATACATTGTTATACTTGGCCTTATGTTCCACTACTCTAAAATGGCAAACTAAATTGCTTTACGTCACGCTTTTATGACTACTGCATATTGTTGCATGCAGCACATATTTGGCAAGCGACTTTGGTTGAGAATTTGTTGATTCGAATAGCTGAACTTGATGGGTGCGAACAGCAATCTGCGGTCAATGCGATTCAGTAGCATCTAACAGTACTGCAACCGCAGACAGTTTAACAACACAATACCTATTTTGCAATAGATTTCCTTTTGTCAATTGTATTGACGATTTTATGAGCCAAGTACCAATTTTCAATCAGGTTGGTTTCAAATTATTTAGTGTAATTAAATAACGCAATTTAGACTAATCTATATTGAATTAATCCATTACGAAGTTCCTTTAAAACATTCTTTAAAGACAACTATAGTTCAAACCCTTCTTAATTAATACCTTAGTGTAGTAAATGACTCATAGCTTAGTTGGACACCTTCATCTCATCACAAAAAAGAGATTATCATTAAGAACCAACCAAGTGTAAACATGAGTAATACCAATCGCTTTAATCAATAAAGAAGCAAAATCCCCAGAAATTTTCCTAACACCAACGCACAAACAGTGTAGCAATTGCCAAATGTTCCAATTCCGAGTTAACAACAACAAATACATCAACTAATATACTGTTATGTGTATAGAAAGCCTCCCCAGGTTCGGAGAAACACACTTCAATTAAACCTTGGATAACACGTAATTTTCCGGTGAATCATCTTAGCAACTTTCTATGTCAACTCGAAATAAGGTAAGTATTGGATTCTTCCCAAAAATGCATGATATGTTTATGGCTAGAAGAAAAGATATTCACACAAAAATTACCGAAATGAACCTAGTGGCATTCGATTTTATTGGCTTACGAATTAGGTCTTTAGATCCAGCAAGGGAAGAAAGAGAAGACAGAGAAGCTAATGATTCAAAAAATCCGAATTGGCAAGCACAACGGAACTAATTTACCTATGATAAACCAAATTTTGATGACCAATAAACAATACAGATGATTACCTACAATGAATAAACAGTGTTTCTCCTGCCAACTATTCTCAACGGAGATAACAAAACATGTTCGGACACTTAGATGTTTGGTATGGAATGCCTCTCCGTTTCTCGGAAAACCGGAACACTTGGCTTGTTACCTTGGATGGCACGTGGACGTCCCAGTGAGTCATTGTATTTACTTGCATTGCCTTTGGAACAAGTTTTATTGCGAAAAACATTTGACACTGGAACAAATTGGGCCATGTTGGACAAAAACAACATTTTCTCGGAAAATGGGAAGAGTTAAAGACAGTGTTATTGTACAGGGAGTTTTATGTAGTGCTTCCTAGGAAAAAAACTGTTGTGGGTGCCAATGTCAACAAATAAATAAAGAGATAAGTAATTACATAAATATGTGGCTTCTGTCCAAGTTGGGCACGCGTCGTTTTTGGACTTTCATTGATGAGTTTGTTTAGATCTAATGGAATATAATGAACAGGATGGTAAAAATAACAATACACTAATTACGGATGCAAATTCAGTAATAGATTAACGTCACGCTTAAGTCGATATGGGGAAATTGTTACAAGTTCTCTAACATGTTTTAAATTATCCTCCTCCTCTTTATTATAATTTTATTTTAATAACACAGCGCGTAAAGCCAGTATCCGACTTATATTATAATAAACGTATATTTGTTCTTTTACGTAAAAACTACTGAACGGATCTGAATGAAATTTGGCACAGACATAGATTCTAGTTTGGATAAAACATAGGCTCATTTTTACCCTGGTACTGCATAAATATCTATTCCTCACAGTGATAAATGAAAAGAAAAAAATCATGTGAAACATGGACAATCGAAATTATTCGATTGTCCTTACTAGAGAGAACTTGATCAATAAAAACGACACATTTAGATCAAACTATGAACATAATAAAATCAAAATCAAAGTATTATAGTTTTGTAACATCTACCTATTTATTTGTCATACATATGTATTTGACTAAATATTACAAGTTGAAGACACTACATACGTTACTATACCAATTCTTTTTGCTTTTTTACCTTTTTCAAATAAGGATGTGAGATTTTTATCAGTCATGTTCCAATATGATTTACTAATTAAATGGAGCAAAGAATATTTTAGTGACGTTAGAGCGTTCTCACAATCTGGAAAGCTCTTACAACGCACTCGTTATTAAACACACCCACATACGGTGTTTGTGCATGTGGGGTATCGACGCGTGCGCAGCGGCGAAGGTGAGCGAGCTAACTTGACGTCTTGCCAATCTCTTAGCTACGTGCATATTAATGATGCTGTTCGTGCATTTCGTACGCAAAACCATTTCGGTAGCTAAACAAAAATTGTACATATTTTCTTATTTACCATCAGCTTACGTTTATAAAGCATTAGTTTTAAATGTCACAACAAGTTAAAAACAAGTCATAAATTCACCGTGCTTGTGTTCGTTAGTTACAGCCACCTGTCGTATAATTAGCCTGCCATTGTTAGGCCGGTGGCGGTTAATTAAGATGCGCGATAGCTCCCATTGTGACGGGAGGATGCGCGAGCGCACGTTGATGTCGTACACAAGGATCCGCTCGATGATAGACAAGCCTACGACTTGAACACAACTAAACAGACGTACACATTATACAGGCTGTTCCACATTATACTTATATTCGGCCTCGGTGGACAGATTGGCTTTTTATGACAACTTCACGCATATTTCAGCTACAAGGACGTCTTGCGCCTGTGTGAGTATGCTTTGTGGTCAACAAACAGTCACCTGACTTGAATTTCGAAGCGCTCGCTAGTGTACTCGTTACTTGTTACTGAATCTATAGACAGCACTTGTACAAAAACACGCCGAAAATTCCAAGACCTTGGAGGGGACATCACCTTATCTGGGGGCGCGATATCTACCTAATTTTTAGGAGGTATTGTACTAAGTAAATAGACATGACCTTGTAAATATTAAGCGTTTGCCGGTTTCGCGAGATAACGCTCTCAGCGGGCGCACATTACCTTGCGACTACAAAACGAATTTCTTTCGTGCAAAACAAGTTAGTGAAGTTGGTCGCACACCTTGGAAAAAAATCCTATCGCTGTCGCGTTGCGTAATTTGAAAGAGCACTGACCTGTGTAACCATGTCCCAGTAGAATCCATCGAGCATAGACTTTCCATGTTGATGTTGTCTGCAGAGAGCTGGCCAGAGGGAGGCGCGGACGGGGCTGTTGATTGGCCAGGAGTTTTCTCTGATGAGTAGCTTGAGCTCGCGCTTGCGGCCCTGTTGGATGAGGGGCTGGATCTCCTCAAATGTTTTGAGGGGCGCTTTTTTGCCTGCGAATAACGGAGAGGGTAAGCACTGCGTCCAGATAGGCGACGATTCGGAGACGGCGAGGGACTCCGCGCTGGGTGCGCGAAACGCGGCCGGTTCTATGTACATCGCACTGTTGGCGCGGGGCACATGCTTTCGGTGCGCGCGCGCCGCCGGCACTGCCGCCCGCCGCCGCAAGCTCGCCAGCCTCCGGAAAATGCGATAGCGCGCCCCAACACTGTCACACTTCCATTGTTTATTTGACCGTGAGGCCAGCGCGCCGGTACAATAGACCAAGTTTTACAAAAATCGATTTTAAGTGAACAACAGGGCGATGCAAAAAGATTTTGATTGTTACTTAAGCATATAATTTTAAGCCAGAACCTATTACTAAAACTATAATGTAAAAACTATCAAAATAAGGCTAAATCATATTAATGAAACCAAAGAAATAAAAAACCGAAATTTTTACGAAAACTAAGTACCTACATACGTCAAGTAAACAACGCGTAGATATCACACGATAACAACATGAACAGTCGTATAAATAGTAACAGAATCAAAGCAAAACGCAACATTTTGGACACGAGCCAATAAAACGAAATTTTCGTCTTGCATACGTAATCGTAGGTTAAGACTGGAGCGAAACAAAATAAAATGGTCGGACATATCGAGATACGCCCTTTGATCGACCTAGCATACATTTTAACTGAATACATCATGTCAAGTTGTAAGTTCAATGAAATAGTTTAAAGTTAGAAGGGTGTGTTATAAAGAGGGCGATGGCACCGGATTAAAAATGTAAGGTTATTGATTATCCATCAGCCACTGAAATAGCTCAGTGTAACTTTATTTAAAGTCAGCTGTGTAACCACCTCGGAGTTCAATGACGAAGTAAATATACTAACGTCGAATTTGTAACATTTTTGCGTTTGTGGAATGGTTCAGTAATCGTATTAAATGGTTTGGTGGTTCTCATTAAGACGCACGCTACTAAAACATAAAAAAAATCTTTTCTTATAAATAATCCTCCATTGTTTTATTCCAAAATATAATTGAATTCTTCAACAATCAAGGTCTTTTGTGATCGACGAGCATCAAAATTATGGGCATCGCGTAAGCATTTCGACAATTGAAAAGCTTTTAGGGGTTACAACATTTTCCGTCGAACGTGATCCGCAAATCTGATTTAATCCCCACTCTTTTTTGGCATTTACTTACTTAATTTTAGAAACGTAGGAAATTTAAATCAAATTATTGTTCAAAATCGAAAATAAAGATCTTTTATCTCTTCATTATCATCGTTAACGTAAAAAGAATATCGCAAGTATTTTTCTCTCCATGACGTCACAGTTTGTGCTAAGAAAGCGACATGGTCGTTTATACCGACAGTTAACGTTGACGTGTTAAGTAAACAAGTATGATAAGATGAGGTTATCTATAATGCAGTCGCCGGCCAACCGCTGCGATTGACAGACATAGACGATTTATTTTAAGTTATTACTTTTTCATTTAGTGATTGTTGCGTTAAATATTGTTTTGTTAATTAGTTGTATTCGCTATGTTTTGTGTAAAATAGAACTTTTTGACAGAAATTTTTCCATAAAAACGTTTACGTTTTTATAAAGGTTGTAAGTTTTGGTCTTTTTACAAAGGTTTTATGGGTGTAAGAAACCTTTTATTTAATTTTAGATTTTGATTTAATATTTCAATTACTGCATTTTTATTTAAGTCTAGATTAAAATCATCTTTCATCAAAGAAAACTAGTTTTAAAGTGTTATATGAACATTAATTTTAACAGATACATAAATAATAAACTTCATTTAAATTACACAACAGCACGCAATATTTAAATTAACAATGAGTAATTTGTGGAACAAATAAATTCTTGTGCTTTATGTTCTATTGTGGTATCACTAAAACTACTAATTAAGAAAACCATTTCCTTATCAATTTCTTAGAATCAACTAACGGTATTTCAATAAAATGATACGTCTTGTAATAAGTTAGGGGTGTTTACCACCTTAGTCAATTTCCGTTTCCTCGTTCGCGAAGTGGATTTACTTCCGATGCGATGTTGCCAAACAAAATATTTCGTTCGTATGTTTAAACTTGAACCATAATTTTAGTTATAAATGTTTTGTTAAATTTAACATTATGGCTAATTTCTTTTTTAAGTGTCATTAAATGTCCTCTCCCGTTGTGGGTAGGAGCAAAGACAGAGAGTGTCAGACTCTTACTGACTACAAACCACCACGTTCCCTCTCCTGCTGTGGGACCGAGCCGCGATTACAATGTCGCGGTTCCACGCGCATCCCCGCCAACTTATTTGTTTATAGTAAGTTATCATACATACTGGAGTAGTAGTATTAGTTCATTTAATAACAGTTAGTTCTTAATAGCATTTAAGAACATTTTAGAGGTGGACAACATCCGCACAATCAGAAACACATTGTAATGAAGTTATTTATAATAATGTGCTGCAAATCTTTTACAGGTACAGTAACCATATTGTTATACTACAATCCTTCGTTAATAAAAGTGGCCAAAGGGAAAAACCATTAAGCAATTGATAGTTCGCTTTGTTTCTATTATGCGGATAGCTCAGGGGTCTCTCGTACTTCAATACTTTTGTAGGCATGCTGTTGATACATACATATGTATTGTCGTTATTTAACTGTACTGGCAATTTCAATTAGTATTGACGGGAAAAGCTTAGGGAGATTTTGATACTTAAGTCATCGAATACCAACAGATTACTGTTGAGAGCAAATCCACCGCTAGCGTGGCCCACATGTTGTCCACCAAGGGGCTCAACGTGTTAAGGGCCGGTAATGACATTCAACACAATCAAAGATAAAGAAAACCTATAAATTAGATCATATTCGTATTTTGGTTGACACCAAAGATACAAAAATGTGACTAACAAAACCTACTCCGTACAATTGTACTCAAAAAGTCCAAGTTCCTCCATACTTATTCATATTGATTAGAATTTTCCAAGAATGATATAGCGATTATGACGTCAACTGTTGCAAAAACGTACACACATACGCACACCTACCATTAACTTTATTATTGAGTTTAAGATACGGATTATTTTATCAGATGTTGCAATCTTGCTATTTTCGGCGTGTTTTATCGAGATAACTGGTTATTTTCACCCCAGTGAGCCGTTTATAGCTTCATTGAATATTGAATGTCACAAATATTATTATTTTCAGTTGGATTGGTATACTGACCTAGTATATTAAGTTTGTTTTGTAGTTGAAGTAGATTTTCGAGCTGATTAAATAGCAGTTAGAAGACTCAATATTGAAATTAGGCTGTTACTGACTACTGTCTAGGAGATATCAATAAAATCATGATCATTAAACATTTGGTTGCCGAAATGCAGATCTAAGCAAGACTATAACAAGTCATAAGGTAAAACGCTATTGCAAAAAATATATGAGGACCTTCTCTACTAGCCGTGTAACCTCAAAAATTGAAATAGGTATAAACACATCAGTAATATATAGAATAACTTATTACCAAATTTTTTAAATGTTACAGAAGACGGGCGAACTTCAGTGTTGGCGCCTACTGTTCACGCACTAGCAACAACTTAGGTAAGCAACTTAAGTTGCCTATCGCTATTGAATTCGATAAAGGAAGGCGAGTAAATTAATCACTAGATCACTACATTAGTAGTATAAAACAAAGTCACTTCTCTGTCCCTATATTCCTATGAATGCTTAAATTTTTGATGCGGTAATTTTTATTAGGAAGGTTTATATGCATAAATATATAACATCCATTAAATAGTGGAGAAAATTGCACCCGTGCAAAGTTGGGGCAGTAAAAATTTCATAAAAAATTTAATATCACAGAGAAAACACAAAGAGGTAAACTCATGTAGGTTAATATTAAAAGTTGATGTAAGTAATTTTAATAATGTTATATTATTTGTCATGTTTTAATCGTCAGCCCGTTTCCATAGCAGCTGGACATAGGCCGCTTTAATGACACGTCACAGATCCAGACCAAGTTCACAACACCTGAAAAGTTTCAAGTGCGTTGCCAACTTTTTGGGGTAAACAGCTAAGTTTGTTCATTTTCTGCCATTACTTCTTGCACTTCTAACAATATAAAAAGAAAAATGGATGGATAGAATAAAAAAAAGAGCAAAGTTGTTATTTTTTATTTTGCTTATTCAGTATGTTACTCATTCAACCAAATTGAAACTCATCTAGCTATTGATATCATATGTGCACAATGTTTTAAATAGTGATTTTCCATGGCAATTTAGAAGTAGGATGTAAAACTACCAATTCTCTTGTATTGTATGAACAATGACTGCATTTTTTCTTATCTTCACGTTCAAACAACTAATGCGCATTTTAGTAATCAAAGAGAGATCGTATTGGTAGGGTACGCAGTTTAATATCAACTTTACAAGGTCATGTTTAGTGACTTATTTAAGTTTCATTTTTTGAGTTCAAATCAGTATTATTATAAAAGGCACATCGGTAACTTACTTGAATAATATTATAATAACAAAAATAGATTTCCTAATTTAGGTAAAATTATTTACATAGTTTACGTAACAAAGGAGTTATCTAAGCTTAAGTATGCTAATATAAATAGGTACCTACAAAAAAGTATTTGCATTACTGGCTGGTAAAAAACTCAAAAGACTTTTTCATCGGTTCCAAATTAAAAATAGTGACATCAAATTTGAATTCCGAATATCACAAGCGCATGATTCACCGTTAATGTATCAGTGTAGTCTATACAGGACGATACAGCGTGTATTTTTATCTTTTAAGATTGTGCAAAGCCACTATGTGCGTGTTTACACGTAAGGAATGCTAATTGTACACGGCTGATAACTGTTTTATTTTGTATCTTTTCAGAGTACCTAACTTGTTTTTTTCATCGGTCACAAAGGAGCACGACAACAACGGACGAGTTACGAGGGCGTTGCCGACCTTTTGGGGATAAGGGATTTGGAGATTTTGGGATTGGGGACGGATTACG